GAGCCATATCCTTTTCTTCTTTAACCAGTTGATGTGATGGATCGTACTGGTTGATTTTTGAAGGCTAAACCAGCGTAAGCATACTTGGAAGGAATCCTCTTTGCTCATGATATATATATATATATATATACACACACACACATATACATATACATACATACACACACACATTGTTGGATTCAGTTTAGTAATATTCTGAGGATTTTTATATCTGTGTTCATAAGAAATACTTTGTAGTTTTTTTCCCTTACAATGTCTTTGTTTGGTTTTAGTATTAGGGTAATGTCAGTGTCATAGAATGAATTCGGAAGTATTTCCTCTTCTTCTGTCTTCTGGAAGGTATTGTAGAGAATTAGCATGATTTCTTCCTAAATGCTTGGTAGAACTCACCAGTGAACCCCTCTGGATCTAGTCCTTTTTTGGAAAATTATTAATTATTGATTCAATTTATGTTATAGATACAGGTTTATTCAGATTGTCTGATTCTTGTGTGAGTTTTGGCAGATTGTCTGTCTTTCAAGGAATTTGTTTATCTCATCAGTGTTATCAAACATGTGGGACAAAGTTGATCATAGTATCCTTTTATTATCCTTTTAATATCCCAGGGGTTGAATGGAAAAGCAAGTATGCATGTACTCAATACTAATATGAAGCCAGTAGATGAACTAATAATACACGCCACACGAGAGAAAAACTCAATTTAATTGAAGTTGAGAGAGGGAGAGGAGGAAAAGGAAGAGGGTGGAGGGAGGGGTATTGATGTGCTCCCACCTAATGGGTACAATTATGTGGCACACCTCCTGGGTGCAGGACATGGCTACAACAGGAATCTTACCTAAAAATGCAAACATTGTAACCTAATCGTTTGTACCCTCCTATTCATCTGAAAAAACAAAAATATCCCAGGGGGCTATACTGGTGTCCCTTCTTTCATTTCTGATATTATTTTTGTTTTCTCTTTTTTTCTTGACCTTTTCCCTATTACTTTACTAGCTTTACTATTTTATTTTTTTCTTTTTTGCAGTTTTTGGCCAGGGCTGGGTTTGAACCCACCACCTCTGGCATATGGGGCCGGTGCCCTACTCCTTTGAGCCACAGGCGCCACCTTGGCTTTACTATTTTTAAGTGTATAACTGTAAACTGTATTTACATTGCTGTACAGAAAATGTATAGAATTTTTTCATGTTGCAAAACTGAAACTCTATCCGTTGAGTAATTCCCCATTTTCCATTACTCCCCAGTAGAGGTTTGTTTGTATTATTGATATTTTCAAAGAAACAACTTTTGTTTTTGTTGAATTCTCTTGATTTCCTGTTTTCAGTTTCACTGACTTCTGCTCTAATTTTTATTCTTTCTTCTACTTACTTTGAGTTTAGTTTGCTCTTTTTCTAATTTCCTCAAGTGAAAGCTTAGATTATTGATTGTAGTTATTTTGTTTCTAAGTATGCATTTAATACTATAAATTTTTCTCTACTGCTTTAAGTGTATCCCACAGATTTTGATAGTTACATTTTTATGTCCATTTAATTCCGTATATGTATCTTTCAGTTTCTGTTGAGATGTTTTTTCTTTGTACCATGTATTATTTAAAAGTGTGTTGGTTAGGCTCGGCGCCTGTGGCTCAAGTGGCTAGAGTGTCAGCCATATACATCTAAGGTGGCGGGTTCGAATCCCCAGCCCAGGCCTGCCAAATAACAATGATGGCTGCAACCAAAAAATAGCCGGGCGTTGTGGCGGGCGCCTGTGGTCCCAGCTACTTGGGAGGCTGAGGCAGGAGACTCGCTTGAGCCCAGAAGTTGGAGGTTGCTTGAGCTGTGATGCCATGGCACTCTACCCAGGGGGACAGCTTGAGGCTCTGTCTCAAAAAAAAAAAAAAAGTGTGTTGCTTAATCTCCAAGTATTTTTGAATATATTTCAGGTATCTTTGTGTTACTGATATCCAGTTTAATTTCATTGTGATCTGAGAATAGATACTGGTTGCTATTCCTTTAAGTTTGTCAGGGCATCTTCTACAGGCCAGGACGTGATCTGTCTGATGAATGTTGTATGTGAGCTTGAGAAGAATGTACGTTCTGCTGTAGTTGGATGAAGTAGTCTATAGATTGTGGTAGCCTTTTTATTGAATTGACTGTAGCCTGAACCTTCTCTGATTTTTCAGAGTTTTCCAAATGAGATACATACTTCTCACTCCCTTCCTTAAATAACTTCTTCAGTGGTTCTTATTGCCAGATAGCTAAAATGTATGGGAGGTGGGAGGAAATAGCCTTCATAATCAGGTCTATTCTTATCTAGCTTTTTTTTTGAGACAGAGTCTCACTCAGTAGAGTGCCATGGTGTCACAGCTTACAGTAACCTCAAACTCTTGGGCTGAAGTGATTCTCCAGCCTCTGCCTCCCAAACAGCTGGGACCACAGGTGCTCGCCACAACACCCAGCTGTTTTTTGATTGTAGTTGTCATTGTTGTTTGGCAGACCCGGTCCGGTGTATGTGGCTGGCCCCTTAGCCACTGAGCTACAGGTGCCCAGCTGCTTTTTTTTTAAGGCAAGCGTAGAACAAAGTTTATAGAATAAGAGCAAGATAGAGGCTTACAGAGCAAGATACATTTGCCGTAGACAGCAAAAGGGCTTCCATTATCCGAGCAAGTAGCAAGCAAAGAGGCTGCTTTTTTTTTTCCTTTTAAAATGGTAGTTTAGCCTCTGCCCATGCTTTAAGCGTATCAAATCTCTTTAGGTCCACTATGATTTTTATGCCTATAGTATTCTCTGGCAATCTACTGTTGTTCACTTTTTACTTTAAAGTTTTCTCTTTTTTGTGATTTTCATTGTGATAACTTTGCCTTTCTTTGCTTTGTTTTAATACTGAAACGTCTCTTTTCTGTGTGTTGCTTTTAAATTTTGTGTTATAACATTTGGATTATAGTAGGCAATCAGATATTTTTTGAGTGAAAATGCACACTATCTTTTTTTTGTTTTTGCAGCTTTTGTCTGGGGCCGGGATTGAACCCACCACCTCCGGTATATGGGGCCAGTGCCCTACTCCTTTGAGCCAGAGGCGCCGTCCTGCACACTATCTTTTTAATTATGAAAAAGTTGAAAGTGAAATATTTAGATCCTAAGTTTGTAGTTCAAGAGTTCTGGCTCGGAGCCTATGGCTCAAGCGGCTAAGGCGTCAGCCACATATACCTAAAGTGGCGGATTCGAATCCCTGGCCCGGGCCGCCAAACAACAATGATGGCTGCAACCAAAAAATGGCCAGGCGTTGTGGCGGGCGCCTGTAGTCCCAGCTACTTGGGACGCTGAGGCAGGAGACTC